CCCTCTCCCTCTCCCTCTCCTTCTCCCGTGCATGTTTGTGCCTGAGCACACTCAGGTCAAGGATGACCTGCTGCAGTTGGTCTTCTCCTTCTTCCACGTGGGTCCCAGAAATGGAACTCAGGGGTCAGGGGTCAGGGGTCAGGGATCAGGCTAGGCAGCAAGCACTTTCACCCAGTGAGCCATCTTGGTCCCTCCCTCTCTTTCCTTCTTTGTCATTTCAGACAAAGTCTCCCTCCAGTGTAGGCTGCCCACAGACTCCTGTGTAGCTGAGCATGGCCTTGAACTCCTGACCCTTCCAGTGCTTTATGGTGCAGGTGTGCTGCTTGCTTCTGTGAAGGCTGGCCTGAGGTGACTCACGTACCTGGATCCCGTCAGCAGGCTTGTTGATGTCCTCTTTGAAGATCAGCATGGTGGGGGCATAGATGTTGACGTTGTACTGCCTGGTCATCTCCTCCACACCTCTCAAGCCGACGTACACATATCCAAACGACACATAATCTTTGTATGCAAAGGCTGTCAACTGTGAGGGCAGACAGGCAGAAGTGAAATGGACAGCCTGGCATCCAGCTTAGACTACGTGGGACTCATTAATGTCAGTGGCCGGGATGAGCGGTCAGCTTGTGGAGCCCCAGGAGTCTTCCTCACCCTCAGGAATGCTAATGGTATTCTATGCACAAAAACTGAGCACGGGGAAACACAACTGATTTTCTCAAGAGATAAAACAAAACGATTATTAACCAGAAACCTTGCCTGGGTCCGTGTGTGTCCTTATGTGTGTGTACGTCCACGTCCATCCCAGCAGTAAACACCCACGGGCAGAGTAGCCTCTTCTGAAACCCTTGCAACTAAAATGGTTCACCCTTTTTCAGATTTTAGAATATTAGCATATCCATAATGAAGTATTCTTGGGGACAGGACCAAATTTAAATATAAAATCTGTATGTTTCACATACACCTTATCCGCAGTGTAAGGGTAATTGTGCACATTTTAGTGTTCCTATGTGACCTGTCACATGAGGTCAGGGGTGGACTCTCCTGATGTGGTGAGGCACTAATGGTCAAGATTTTTCTGATTTGGTATTTTTAAATTAAAGTTGCTCAAATATGTAACTTTACCAAAGGCAAGGAGGCTATGGGCTCTGACGCAGAGCTGGTGCCCACCAGGGGAATGGGCAGCTGTTCTGCAGATGCCTTACCTTGTACAGCAGCGGCACTGCTGGTGTCTGGCCGAACAGGAGGGCGTGTGGCTTATTCTCCTGCTGCCAGCCAGAGAGGAACCGCACATAATTTTTATTTGTGACCTTAAATTGGAAATAGGTTAGTTGCAATATTTAATTTTAAAAACCAACATATTCATTTTTATTCTGTGCATGAATGTTTTGCCTGCATGTATGAATGCTCACTACACATATGTCTGGTGCTCACAAAGGTCAGAAGAGGGAATCAAATTTCCTGGAACCAGAACTACAATGGTTGGGAGCTGCCATATGACTGCTGGGAACTGAACCCAGGCCTTCTGGAAGACTAGCCAGTGTTCTTAACTGCTGAGGCATCTCTTCAGTCATGATATTTAATTCTTGACAACTGCATTATACTTCTGTCAGGAGATAAATTAAGTACATATAAAGAGGTTGTTTGTAAAAATCAAAAAATGCACGCAATAATCTTTTTGCCTTTTTTGAGAAAGGGTCTATTTAGTCCTGGCTGGACTGGAACTTGCTAAGTAGACCAGGCTGGCCTGACTTCACAGAGATCTGCCGGCCTTAGCTGCTAATATTTGACAAAGCCATTAGAAGACTGTCAACAACAGATGTCATCTGTTTATAAACTCTTACAGATTAAAATTATCATCCTGCACGAAAGAAATACTGACTATATTATAAAGTGGCTTCTCAAGTTGGTTCTTTCTTGTTTGTCTTTTGGTAGAAGTACTAGAGATCGAATCCAGGGCATCTCTAAGCGGGAGCCCCACCATTAGCCCCCAGAGCGCAGTTCCAGGGAAGGCACACAACACTCGTCCTATACACACGGCCTAAGTCGGGCTGGAGAGATGCTCAGTGGATAAAGGTGTGTGCTGCCCTTACCCGAGAGGACCCAAGTCTAAAACAACAACAGCAGCAGCAGCAACATTACATATCTGTTTTGTGTCTGTGTACAGGTACACGAGCTATGTATGTACAGGTACACAAGCTACACGTGCATGTGGGGGGTCAGAGGACAACTTTCAGGAGCTGCTTCTCTGTCCACCATATGGGTGCTGGGAAATCCCATTCTGGCTGTCAGGCTTGGCAGCAAGCATCTCTGCCTTCTGAGCCAGCTTTCCAGCCCACAATAAGCTTTTACTTTTTGTTTCATTTTTAAGACAAATTCTTTCCATGTAACATCTGTCTGGAACTCTCTAAATGGTCCTGGCTAACCTCGAACCCACAGAGATTCACTTTCCTCTGCCTCCTGAGTGTGGGGATGAAAGGTGTGCACCACCATGACAGCTCCTCACTAAGCTTCTAAAGTTCCAGAAATAATATCTGTTTAATGAATCTGATGGGTTTGGTAGAGATATGATTATACTTACTTAATTCATACTTAAAAAATGTAAACTCCACTGGGCGGTGGTGGCGCATGCCTTTAATCCCAGCATTTGGGAGGCAGAGGCAGGCGGATTTCTGAGTTCGAGGCCAGCCTGGTCTACAGAGTGAGTTCCAGGACAGCCAGGGCTACACAGAGAAACCCTGTCTCGAAAAACCAAAAACCAAAACCAAAACCAAAAAACCAACCAAACAAAAAAAGTAAAATCCAAATGTAATTAATGTTTCTCAATGTAATCTGATTTTCATATTTTCTTCTTCTTTTTTTTTTTTTTTTTTCGAGACAGGGTTTCTCCGTATAGCTCTGGCCGTCCTGGAACTCACTCTGCAGACCAGGCTGGCCTCGAACTCAGAAATCCGCCTGCCTCTGCCTCCCAAGTGCTGGGATTAAAGGCGTGCGCCACCACCGCCCAACCTGATTTTCATATTTTCAAAGGACAAATTTGTGCCTATGAACAAATGTATGAGCCATAAATTCTACCACGTGATCTAACTTGGTTGTTGTTTAGTAAACAGGACTGTGGCTTCAGATCAGGTTCCTGTGCCGTCTAGAACCTGTGAGTGCTTCTTAATGGCAGTGAGCTCTCTCCAGCTCTGGATCCTGCTTTGGCAGCCAGTCTCCTCAGGCTTCTCAAATTACTTGGTGTAATGAAATGGTAGTGTCTTGGCTGCTCAGAGAGAAGACAGGGAGGTTCCAGCTGGCAGCCCTACTCTCAGGGGACACTCACCTTCTCCACCAAGTTTCCTGGAAGAAGACTCTCCACGAACTGCCGCAGGTTCTCATGAACCACTGCATTGTGGAAGAAGGAGATCTTCCCGTTGATGACTCCAAGGATGGAGGGGGTGCTGTGTGCTCCCAGGTGATGAGCCAGGCGTCTTTCGTATCCAGCATGGACAACGCCGATCCCCACCCCTGCAAAGCAAGGAAGAGCTAGCTCCATGAAGCCTCCGAGACACAGGCAGGAAGGAATGCTGACAAGTCCTTTGGAGTGGAAAACGAAACCCAACTGGGTTGGAATCAATACTTTTTATAATAGCTTGTTTAGCTTTCTTGCACTGTTAGAATTCTCGATTGGCCAGTTTGTCTATAGAACAACCTGGTAATATGTAAAAAGATTTGCAAACCTGAATGTGGGGCCACAAAGGGATGACTTCGTCTCCCCGGTAGAGCGCTGGGTTTGAGATAGCAGAAGAGCCAACAGGTGAACCATTGCCTGGTGAAGGACGGCATGTATCTCCCCACGGTCTCAGATTCCAGCCCCCCCACATGCAGCCTAAATCCTCATTAGCCTGCATCTTGCAGCCAGGTTTGGCTCAGAGTAGCTCCTCCCACAGAAGTTTCCTGTCACCATCCAGGTAGAGGGCGTGACTAACAGAGATTTCCATATTCATGATTACCTAAGGTGGGGCATAGCTGATTAAGTCATTCCTTTTCAATAAATCTCTTAAACCCAGGGACTTCACGTGTCTTCTGGGGCCTGCCGCCACCAAAGCTTCCATCCAGCCTTTGAAACTTCAGACTTTCTCCAGTAAAGCCTCTGGGACTCCGCCACCCCCCCTCCCCCCACAGGTCATTGCCGAGCAGTTCTGGGACACCCCTACTACGCATGATTTTTCCCACACCTGAATATCTCTTAAGCCTGTTATTCCTAATTTTGGGAGCAGGTCATGAGGAAATCATAAAAAAGAAAAAAAAGAAAAAAAAAAAAAAGAGGACCAGAGAGACGGCACAATAGGCAAAGGAGCTTGCTGTCCCGCCTGAGGTCCATCCTTGGAACTCTCAAGATATAAAAGAGAGAACTGACTCTGACAGGTTGTCCTCTGACCTTTGTACACTTTCTTGTGTGTACACACACACACACAAACGCAAAGTAAGTAAATGCAAAAAAGAGAGAACAATCTGTACATCATGTTCCTACCCAGAAACAAACATGTGTGAAGAACCTGAGGCCAGTGACTCTGTCAGTATCCCACCCAGCACCACAGGCCATAACTTAGCATACAAGCAAGTCACATCTCACCCGTGGGAACATACCTCCCTTTTATATATATTACTTTATTGACATACTGAACAATACAAATGTTGGACCCAGGAGACGGCTCAGTGGGTAAGTGTGCTTGCTGTACAAGATGGATCACTGGGTTTGACCCTCGATCTCATGGAAATGTGGAAGAGAATCAACTCTACACAGTTGTCTGCTGACCTGCACATGCTTGCTGTTATATGTGTATCCCCTCCAACAACCTACACACAATAAAATAAAATACAATTTTGGAGGCTGGAGAGATGGCTAAGAGTTAAGAGCACTGGCTCCACTGGGATCAAGGTTCACCTGCCAACACCACATGGTAACTGGCCGATGTCTATAACTCCATTCCTGGAGGATCAGACATCCATCCTCCAGGGCCTTCTCAGGCACTGGGCATACATGTGGTGCATGTACCTGCTGGACTAGGCATGATGGCACACACCTTTAATCCCAGCACTAGGAGGCAGAGGTAGGTAGAGCTCAGTGAGTTTGAGGCCAGCCTGGTCTACATATCAAGTTCCATGCCAGTCAAGGCTATATAGAGAAACTCTGTGTCTTAGTCACTGTGCAATTGCTGTGAAGAGACACCATGACTACAGCAACTCTTATAAAAGAAAGTATTCAGTTGGGACTTGCTTACAGTTTCAGAGGTTTAGTCCATTGTAACCACAGCAGGTTCACGGCAGCAGCAGACAGAAGGAGTGCAGAAGTGGCTGAGAGTTTTACATTGGAGTCTGGAGGCAGCAGGAAGAGGGAGCCACTGGGGCTGGCTTGGGGTTTTGAAACCTTCACCCCTAGTGATGGACCTCTTCCAACAAAACTACACCTATTCTAACAAGGCCATACCTAATCCTTCTCAAGAACTGACACTCTCATGACTAAGCATTTAAATATATATAAGCCTATGGGTGGCATTCTTACTCAAACCACCACAACCTGTTTCAAACAATAAAACCCAGATATACGTTCAGGCAAAATATCCATTCACATAATTTAAAAGAACTCTAAAAATACAGTAGCTTTTTTTTCTTTGACTTTCTCTTCTTCCTCCTCCTCCTCTTCTTCCTCTTCTTCTTATTCCTCCTCCTCCTCTTCTACTTTCTTTTTGTTGAGACAGGACCTCACTTTACAACCTTGGCTGGCCTGAAATTTTATGATGTGGACCAAGCTGGCCTCAAACTGATAAAGATCTACCCGGTTTTGCCTCCTGAGTACTGGGACTAAAAGTATGTGCCATCAGTATAGCTACAAATTCTTTACAAAGTACAAGAAGGGGCTAGGGCCTAGTTATCCTTGAGTACGAGCATGGCAGAACCAAGAGAGACCTTGCCTTAAAACCAGGTGTGAAAGAAGAACTGAGCCCCTAAACTGGTTCTCTTATCTCCACACAGTGCTGCTTTGGCAGTCCACGTACACACAATACACACACACAGTTTACAAAGTGGACACTCTCCACTCCAGTTAGCATCGTTCAGGAGCCCACAAACGGCTGAGCTCTGTGGGTAGCGTGGTATCCATCTGCTCACTCGGTTTCTGTGTATGCACGAGGACAATGCAATGTAGGTGGCCTGACACTCTTTTCACCTGCTACTTGTCTCACTGAATCCTGGGTCCTCTCTTGCTCTCTCATTTAACTGGTATGCCTGCAGGGCCAGCTACTGCCCCACGTGCAAGATTCACTGCCAACATGGAGAACGTTTTGGTGTCTGGTAGGCTTGGAAGTGTCAGGCTCCTGACACTGAACTCCTAGCCTCCTCCCAAGGAAGCTCCAACGTTGCCTTTGTCCTTCCAAATATGGCAGCTCCACTCCTCCCATTATGCAGTCCAAACGACAGACAGCACTTCTCCTCCGTCCCTCACACCCACGTACAATCTGCCAGCAAGCCTCCTGGTTCTCTCTTCAGAAGATGCCAGTGCAGCAGCTTTTACCTCTCTCAGAGTCCTCATCTTCCTTCTCCACCCATCTCACTACGTAGCCAAGGATAACCCTGAACACCCTGATCCTCTTGCTTCTGGCTCCCCAGGCTCCTGGATCGCACAGAGGTGTGCACCTCAGCACTCAGCTTCTTCATCCTCTTGGCTGGCTCCTGCAGTGGCCTCCTAAGTGGTCTTTCCTGTTGCAGTCTGTTCTTTACATAGGACCAGATTGTTCCTTCTAAATGAATCATACTACTCTGACCAAACCTGCAAAGTACTCATCCACTGGGGATGACACCACAGTCTACAAAAAGGACAGCAGGACTCTGCAGTGGGGACCTGCTCCTGTCTCCCCTTTCTTGCTCCTTGTACTTAGCTTGCTCCAGCCCCAGCACTCTTGGTCATCTGTGTCAATGCAGGGATGCTCCAGCGTTGGGGTCTTGGCCTTGGCACACTGGTGTCTCTGCAACCTTCTCTGACGTCATGTCCTTCTCGGGAGGCTAACGTCAGCCCACATTAGGGCTGTGCTGCCCACACACTGCATCCCCTGTCTCCCACTTACATTGCTTGTCCACAGCTGTTTACTGTTTGCACAGTGGTCTCAGTGGACTGCATCCAAGGTCTGAGCCTACTGAGCACATGCTGTCACTCAGTGTACCCCATGGCTGCTCCATCCTCTAGCACAGCACCCACAAACCTCTTTCTGCTCATTATTTATAGGCCTTCCTCTTCTAGAAAGAAGGTGCCAAGGAAGAGAGGGATCCTGGTGTACTGTCAGCATCAGAACAGAGCTGGGCACTTAGTAGGTGCACAATCAAATAGGGCCATCTGACTATTTGACTAATCCTTTCTTCCTTTTCCTTTTTTTTTTTCTCAAGACAGTGTTTGTGTAACAGCCCTGGCTGTCCTGGAACTCTCTCTGTAGGTCAGGCTGGCCTCGAACTCACAGAGATCTGCCTGCCTCTGTCTCCTGAGTGTTGGGGTAAAGGTGTGAACCACTACCCAGCTAACCAATTCTTTCTTACACAGTGAAGCTGTGCAGAAGACAGGAAAAGGCAACTGCTTTCCTAGTGTCACATTTGACACGTTAACACTCTACTCGTGTGTGTCTGTGCATGTGTGTGTGCATGTGTGTATGTGTGTGTGCGCGAGTGTGTAGGGCAGAGGTCAACCCTCTGCCATTCCTCAGGTGTCATGCACCTTAGTTTTGGAGTCAGTGTTCCTCTCTTGGCTTAGAACCTGCTGATTAGGCTAGGATGAACGGCCAGCCAGCCTCAGGACCACCTGTCTCTGCACTCCACCTTGGCATATGTCATGGCACCCACACTTGTGTGTGTGCATGTGTATGTGTACTGTGTGGTATACATATGTGTGTGATAACCAACACTTGTACACAAGGTGGATGCTGGGTGTCTCTCTCTAAAGCTCTTCATCCAATTGCATATTGTTATTATTGTTGGTGGTGTGTGTACATATGTGTGCATACTCATTACGTATTATTATTATTGTTGGTGTGTGTACATACGTGTGCATATTCATGAGCATCTCACGGAATGATGGTTGAGATAAAAGAATAGCTTTTGCCAGGTGTGGTGGCACACACCTTTCACCCTAGCACATGGGAGGGAGAAGCAGGCAGATTTCTGTGAGTTTGAGGCCAGTCTGATCTAGATAGCAAGTTTCAGGACAGCCAGGGCTACATAGACAGATCCTGTCTCATTAATACAAACAATCACAAAAACAGAGATAGGAGACAATCAGGGCTGAGTTCCAATTCCCCTCCCTTCAAACCACCAGTCTGTGGTCTCCCAGACCAGCCCTCTAATACTGCTCCCATCTCACGGGTCCCAGGCAGTTCTTCATGACCTCTCTTTATCCCTGAGCCCTACAGGTTCCTTTTGACAGGAGCAATGGGTTGCTTTGGCATGGTAACAGACCACTATAGACCATACCAACTTCTCCTCTTGAAGATCTGGAGACAGTGAGTCCAATTTATCCTACAGGGCTGAGTCATTGTGTCAGCAGGGCTGGCTTCCTTTGTAAGCTGCAGGGAAAGTCCACCTGGACTCTTTCCAGCTCCCGTGATTGCCTGCATCTCTGACCTTGTGGTCCCTCCCTCCTCTGTGTTCACATCTTTCGACTTCTGCTGCCAACCTGATGATCAGAGTTCCATGCCCAGATACCACAGGTGGAAGGAGAGACCAGAGCCAACCTCTGACCTCCATGTGTGCTGGGTGTGTGCTCACATGCATACACACGTGCGACATCAGAATGTGAGCTATGACATGTAATGTGGCCCTCTGTCCTAAAGTGCACAGAGGTTTAGCATCACACTGCTCCCAGATCAGTTCCCCTTACACTCTACCACAGCACAAGACACAGCTACACTTCATGACTGAGAAGCTATCAAGTCAGTGACTTTTGCCCCATCTCCATCTCCCTGAGCATTGTACACCGAGAGCAAACAACCTCCCAGTGCCTTCACTACACTGCATGGTAGTACTCCCAGCTTCTTCCAAGAGCAACGGTATCCAGGCTCAGGGTCATATTTGGCCAAAGCTGAATACCCTCCTGCTTCTACACAGCACACCAAAGATTTATTTGGAACAAATGGCCCAACAATTTCCATAAGTCTACTCTTTTCAGAGAACTTAAGAAAAGGAATCAAAAGAAAAGAAGAGAAAAAGAAAAGGAAAGAAAAGAGTCAGGTATACTGGTATAGGCCTTTGAGAAAGTAGTCTGGAAAGATAGCTCAGTGAGTAAAAGCACACCTTGCTCTTGCAGAGGATCTGAGTTCAATTCCCAGGACCCACATGGTGGCTCACAACCTTCTGTAACTCCAGTTCCAGGGGACCCTATACCCTCTTCTGACCTTCTCAGGCACTAGCCATCTGAATGATGTACAAACATACATGTAGGCAAAACATTCATACACATTTAAAAAGGAAAGAAAAAGAAAAGTAGCTTAGCCGGGTGGTGGTGGCACACGCCTTTAATCCCAGCACTTGGGAGGCAGAGGCCAGAGGATCTCTGAGTTTGAGGCCAGCCTGGTCTACAGAGTGAGTTCCAGGACAGCCAGGGCTACACAGAGAAACCCTGTCTCAAAAAAAACAAAAAGAGAAAAAAAAAAGAAAAAGAAAAGAAAAAGAAAAGTAGCTTAATATACCTCTTCCCTCCATAAACACCACCTGAAAATCAGTCACTATGGACTTGGGGAGAGAAAGCACAGCGGTTGCTCCCTCTCTCCAACACCCATGACATTCAAGAATGACGGGCTGCAGATGTGCCTCTGCAGTTAAAAGAGCACTTGTTGCTCTTGCAGAAGACCTGGTCAGTTCTGAAAACCCATAGAGCAGCTTAGAACTACGTCTAATGCCAGCTCCTGGGGATGCATGCTCTTTTCTGGTCTCCATGGGCACCGCTTGCATGCAGTGTATGTACATATATGTATTTATGTACATACATGTGGGTGAATATGCATATACATAAAACATATAAATCTTAAAAAGAAAAAAAGGGTCACCTTCTATTTAAGTGTGTCCTAATGGAATGACTTACCCAGTCCTTCCAGTTCCTGGACCACTTCTTTCCAGACAGGCTCAATATGGATACAGCTAAAGCACCAATCAGACGTGATCTTAATGAGGTAGGGCTTTTTGAAGCTATCGGGAACCACTTCATTCACGTAGTGTGAAAAGTGCAGCAAGTACTTCTCATCGATGGAGTCCCGCCGCTCCGAGTTGAAGGGGAAGTGAAAAAAGGACTCATCAAAATAGAAGTTCTCATGGAAATGGCGGAAGCGATACTCGCGCTGCTGCTTCTGATAGCCTTGGTTCTCATCGGCATCACCATAGTGGTCGTAGTTTGTCCTCTTTTCCTCATTGGACAGAATCTGTAAGGAAGAAGAACAGAAGGAGTCCAAAGGGCGAGGTAGGTGGCTTACAAAAAGGGCTTTCCTTCCTCACCGCTTTCCCTTCAGGACTGAGGACTGAAGCCAGGCCGTGCACACTTGGCAAAGCCTTAACCACTGAGCTGCACTCCAGCCCTAAATGGCTTTCCTGTAAACAACCTGAAAGATGGAAGCATATTTCTCAGAAATGTCTAGTAGGGACGCTAGGTTCAACTTCCAGGAAGGTTGAGGGGCTGGGAAGGAAGGGAAGGAGAGACTTACTACGACCTAACCATTCGTAATCCACAAGGCAGGAGAGCCAACTCAGGCAAGTGTTCCTCTGACCTCTACATGAGCACTATGGCACATGTATGCCCAGAAAGTACACACATACACAGAGTGAACACGTTCATCTCCAACTCCCTAACAGAGACATTAAAACTCCCGGAGTTCATTTGGTGAGATCGGCACCCTCATGTTGACATCAAAGCTGTCAACCATCCCAGTAAACACCAGATCAGATCTGACATAGGACATCACCAGGATCCATCATAGAACATTACCCTGTCTGCACCACTGGAGATAAAAATCATTTGGACCATGGTACGGTAACCATGAACATCAAAACGTAACCAAAATATAGTCTAAGGCCTTATGCATGAGCTGACCTCGGCTTTCGCTTTTATGCTTATTTCATGTCTGTCAGAACAGAGGGGTGGAGGCCAGAGGACACCTTTAGGAGTCAGTTCTCTCCTTCCACCACAGGGCCTGGGGTTGAACACAGGCCTTTGGGCTGGCCAGCAGGTGCCCTTACCCACTGATCTGTCTCACCAGCATCTTTGCTTTATTGAAATCTAGCTTTGAGTCATCTTTTTAGGGTGATGAGTTACTGTCTGCTGAAACACATTACCCTAACAAATCGGGCAGCCAGGGGCCCACTGCTTATGCGTATCCTAGGCTGTGCTTTGTAAGCTGACATGTTGAAGCCTTACCAAAAATCTTGTGTTTTAGTTATTTGTAACCTTGTGTAACCAGGCATACTGGTGTGAGATTCTTTAGCCTGTGCCTCTACAATCAGGACAGACATCTGTCAGGGTAAGTGCACAATTCTTATTAAAGCTTTCAAAGTGGGCTGGGTTTTCCAGGAGCAACAGTGTTTAGGCACTTGCTTCTTACATGTGGGGTCGGAGGGGCAGAGATATTTTCTCTAACATTATGAAGAAATGGGCTGCCTGTGGAGAACGTGCGCTGCTGAGGTGATGTCACAGAACTCGTCAGCTTGGGCCTGCTTTCCCTTTGCTCTGTGTATGCATTTGTATTTCTGTTTGCATGTGAGCCCACGTGTTTGTGGAGAGCCAAGGCCAGTGTCAGGAGTTTTGCTCAGTCACCCTCCACCTTACTGTTTGAAGCAGAGTCTCTCAACTTAACCAGGAGCTCTCGGGTAAGGCTGGTCTAGCTCGGCAGCTTGACCAGGGAGCCTCGCTCAGCCTGTGAGCATTGACGTAGGTGGCATCTGTGTGGGTTCTGCAGATCCATCCGAACAGTGCACCTCCTGCTTGCATGGCTGAGGTCCTGAGCCATCTCCAGCCCCTCCACCCCATTTTTTAGGAGCTAACGGAGGGAGGCCCAGAAGCAGCCAACACTGTACCTCGTAAGCCTTGCTGATCTGAATGAACCTGTCCTCTGCTCCAGGGTCTTTGTTTTTGTCAGGATGCCTGAAACACAGAGGCAGCCATGAGAATGTTTTACACACAGCCGTTTTATAACCTCACACAACATCAGCAGTGAGGAGAAGGCTGTTTGCTGAGGACCGTTTCCTAAAATAAATGTAGAAACAATCAGTTCTTCACACGACCATAAAAACAAACAAACAAAACAAAAAAACAACTTTAACACAGGCAATCTCCTCTCAGGATGCTCGAGCTGGGCACATTCCCAACGCATCAGAGAACACCACAGCCTGCTGCTGAGGAAAGGTGACACACACGCGCACTGTCATCCTCTTTCCAAGCATGACTCACTCTGGCTCAGGCTACATCAGTTATTCCTGCTGACCCGGCTGGAGTGCTCCCTCCCTGTGTGAGTGCATCCTGCAGGGGCTTGACTTGGCTTAGTTCTGTTTTCCTGAACGCAGGCAGCACAGGCAGCAGCGGGTGTAGGCAAAGCTTCAGCGTGAGGTGATGCCTGCTCTCATTCTCGGGTCAGAATCCTGCCCTGCTGACCCACTCCGCCTCTGACTGGCTACTTTTCCCCACATATGGGTAACAATTTCAAGGCCACGTGTGACCCTAGCTGGCACTTGCTGTTCCTGTGTGAAGCACTTCATTCTGTATCTTTTCATGTTGATAGTCATGTTGTCTTTGGGAACTAAGACTGTTTTCTGAGACTGGCTCTCAGTACCCAGGGCTGGCTTTAAACTCCAGAGCTTCCTGTGTCTACCTCAAAGTGTAGAACTGCAGGTCGGCACCTCCTCCCACTGGCAGTTCTAGACATTTTCTGGAGAGCAGGGATGAGCCACATTTGCTTCCTTGCTGCCCCCTAAGACTGAAGCCAGACTTTCACAAAGGCTTCCAATGGTCATGGTATGAAGAGACTGTGTCTATTTGACACAGAGGCTCAGTGTAGAGCTCAGGCTGGCTTCACTCTTCACCCTTGCCTCAGCACTGTGAGAGCTGGAACCACAGGCCTGTTCTACCATTCCCAGCCCCATTTATTCTTTGCTGTCCTTTTGAGGTAGGTCCCTCTACGTAGCCCTGGATGTCCTGAAATTCTTTGTGGATGAAGCTGGCCTCAAACTCACAGAGATCCTCCTGCTTCTGCCCCCAGAGTACTGGGACTAAAGGCATGTACCACCGGGCCTCACCCCATTTACAATGCAGATAATTGCTTATGCCAACCTTAGGAAATTTCTTCTAGCAAACACTCTGGGAAGGAAAACAATTCACAGGGATGGAGGGACATTCAGCCCTGACTGCTCTCCCAGAGGTCCTGAGTTCAGTTCCCAGTAATCACACGGTGGCTCACAACCATCTCTAATGGGATCTGATGCACTGTTCTGAAGACAGCTACTGTGTACCCATACACATAAAGTAAATAAATAAATCTTAAAAAAAAAAGGAAAAAAAGAAAAACAATTCACAGAGAAGTAGAAAAGACCAACAATACACCAAATGCACTGAAGTAAAAAACATCGACAAGTCACTAAACTCATCAGAGCAGGATGTCTGAGTGGGCTTTATCCCCACTCTATTCTCTCTAAAAACGAGGAACTTCAGACGGCTTGAGCTTGGATACCACCCTGCCCCTAACCACTGCATCCTTGCCATAAATATGAGTAACGTTAAAAAACAAACATCAGGTAGGCACACCAAATACAACAGGACTTTAGGGGATGGGGCCCAAAGTGTGTTTCCGACTAAAATATAAGCTTTCACTATTCAAACTCAGGTCAGCGATGAGCGGATCCAGTGTGCACGCCTCCAGATGATGACCAAGCTGGAGGTGCTGCAGAGGGCAGGAAGGGAGGAGGGGCTTCGCAGGAGACGGAGGCAGAGGGTCGGTGGCAGCTAGGTAGGACAGGTTAGCTGAGAACTCAGGGGGCACCCAACAGTTTGAGCTGCTAAGGAGAGCTTTCCTGAAGGAGGAAGACCTCTCCAAGTTGCAAATATGCGGAGAAGGGAAGTTCAGCCCTAGGTGAGTACCGTCCAGTGCTGTGTTCAGGGAATGAGACAGATTCAGATGAGAAAGTTTGCCATATGCCGACAAACTTTCCATTTCAAAGTGAAGAAAATACTGTGTATGGGCTCAACCGACTCTCATTGTGACCTCATAAAAATGAAGATGAAAGAAGTGACTGTCCTCAGCTGAGAGTGATCAGGACGGATGTCCTTTGGCTGAGCAAACCGTTTTACCAGTCTGCTTCTCCTAAAGGCCCTTGGTACTTTGCTAACACAGATGGCAAACCCGTGAGGAGACGTAATTCATGAGCCAGAAATACAGTTTTCCTGACAGAAAACCCAGTCATTTCACACGGTTTTACCAGGCAGTTTTTGGTGAGGTCTAGGAAACACTCAGGAAAGCACTTGAGAAAATATGGTTCAAGTGCTAACCTTTTCTCTCTGCTATGCCTCATTCTGGAAGTCAAGCGGGGCTCTAAAGCCATTTTCAATGTTATTGTGAAACCACCCAGAGGGGACACAGACTAAAGCAAGTGAGAAAACACTGCGTGGGCCCAAACAGTAAAAAACGGGAAGATGGTACATTACACAGGTGAAAATAGGAATTCAATGCACAAAGTCAATATTATTCATTTGTACAGTTATGAATTACTCCAAGAGACTCCAGCAGGAAGACAAGGGCATGTAGCCAACAGTGAATACCCCTTAAAACTTGAGACATAAAGGTCACAGCTGTCCGCTGAAGGAGTCCCATATCCTTAAGCTACTGTTCTAGATACCTTGTGCAAAGAAGGCTGTTAGTTATGAACTAACCACAAATTGTCATTTGCTTTAAGTACAGAGAGGCAGGGACCTAAAATATGACTGAAAGCCAATTTGGCAGAGAACTGCTGGAAAGAGGCCATGCATTATTCGACATGGTGTTTCCAGCATCCAATTCTAGATTCCTCATGATAGGAGTAGAGCCCCAGATATTATTCATAAGGTTCTTTGTACCTTTTACCTTTACCACAATTAGCTTAAAATCAAGCTACATCGGCTCATCGAGGAACAATCTTGTCAGCCAGAGCCATGAAGGTTACAGATTCTTTGCGTTAGGCAGCTTTGTGGCTGTCCAACTTGACACTACTTTGTGCCAAAGCATGAACCAGTTCACTTTTACTCATGTGCAGACAGGCAAGTGATTGCAAAGTCAAGGCCAACAGGAACCGACTGACGGCGTGGGAACAAACTGTGGGCGTGAGGGGCAAGCGGGGTTGCCAACTCTGTGATTTGACTCCCCATCTTAAATCAGGTTGAAGTATCTCTTTCAAGGGTTAGTCAACCGGGTACAATGAGACCCAGAAGCTGGAGGTGAACCTGCAGTCGATACTCGATAATGGTCCTCCAGCTCTCTCTCTCTCTGCAGCTGCTCAACACCTGCCCTTTGGCTGAAGCTGTACTGGGAGAAGTTTGCCCAAAGAAAATTTAACACTAACTGTTCCCTAGTAATCATAATCCTGATAACAGGTCAACTTGTGAGTGCTCTCATGAGCATACCTAGCACTCAAGAGGCAGGGGGATCGCTGTGAGTTCAGGGCTAGTCTGGTCCACACAGTAAGTTCTAGGCCTGGCAGAGCCACACACTAAGACTTCTGTCTCAAAAAGTTCTGTAATTCTCTTAAAATGTCTTTAAAAAGTAATACACTTGCTTCTTGAATCTCTTAAAATTGGAAGCCAAAAGTACGTATTCTAGACTTTTGTTGTTGTTTGTTTTTTCGAGACAGGGTTTCTCTGTGTAGCCCTGGCTGTCCTGGAGCTCACTCTGTAGACCAGGCTGGCCTCGAACTCAGAAATCCGCCTGCCTCTGCCTCCCAAGTGCTGGGATTAAAGGCGTGTGCCACCGTTGCTTGGCTCTAGACAGTTTTAAAAGTTTAGAGATTCAGAGAACAGAACTGTATGCTCCCTGTAGCATTTATACCCATCAAGAATTGCTTTCTAGGGGCTGGAGAGATGGCTCAGTGGTTAAGAGCACTTGCTGCTCTTCCAGAGGACCAAGGTTTAGTTCCATTACCTGTATCAGGCAATTCCCGACTCCCCGTAACTCCATCTCCAGCACGGTTAGCAGGCTCTTTTGAGATATACACATAGTTAAAGATAAAATAGTACCAAAAAAAAAAAAAAACCAAAAAACAAAAAACCAAAACAAAAAAGCTGGGTGGTGGCAGCACACACCTTTAAATCTCGGCATTAGGGAGGAGAGATGGGTGAATCTCTGAGTTCAAGGCCAGGCTGGTCTACATACAAAGTGAGTTCTAGGACAGCCAGAGCTACACAGAGAAACAACCCTCCCCCCACACACAGACAAACTCTCTCACACATACTCTCTCTCAAACAGAAAGGAAAAAAATGTTTAAACCCCAGAATTCCTTACAAAACCCACCAGGGCAGTTCATTACTGCTTAGCACCTTGCTTAATTGCCAGTGGTTCTCAACCTTCCTAACCTGTGACCTTTAACACAGATACTCATGGTGTGACACCCCCCCCAACCATCAAGTTACTTTTGCTACTGTTATGAACTGTAACGTAAACATCTGTTTTCTGATGGTCTTAGGTGACCCCTGGGAGGGTTGTTTGACCCCCAAAGGGGTTGTGACTCACAGGTGGAGAACTACTGTTCTAGTGGTACGGAACTTGCCCAGGCTGACCTCAAATAAGGGTAGGTGATGAGCCTCCTGCCTCTGCCACCAAAGTGCTGGGATCATAAGTGTAGGGTCTCCTGTACACTTCCTTTTTTTAAAAATCAAGTTACTTCTTACTTAGACATTAAACATCCTAAAAGTATCTAAGAGAATGCTCTAAGCTATAGTATTCCTGAAGGGTTGTGTGCCAAAGTAAACACAGACTTTGGACCACTAAAAAAGATGGAACACAGACCGTTAGCTGACCCTCAAAACTCTAGACAGGTCTACAAATACACACAACACAGAACAGACAAGTCTTCCTTATTTGAGGCATCAGCCAACTGCTGACTGCTCAGCAGATGTTAAACTTTCGTTCTTGGTTTCACCTACCATTCCCGAGCGAGCTTCTTATATGCCTTTTTAATGTCAGCCTGGCTGGCTGTGCGGCTGACTCCTAGGACTCTGTACGGGTCAAAATCCAACGCAGACAGGCTTTGCAGGATCAGAACCAGAACTACCAAGAATTGCCAGGAAACGACCAACCTTTTCAATTCCATCTCTCTTCCTTCCCAGAGCTGAAATGATTAAGAGGTAGTTTTAAGTTCAAGAGACAGGAAACTAAATGGTCTCTCTCTCTTTTTTTTTTTTTTTGATAGGGAATAAAGATGTTCAGATGAGAACTAAACAGATTTTTAAAAAGAGAATGTGTCAATCTAGTTGACCGCCTCTTAAAAGAAATATGACCACTATTTTTGAATATCATACATAAGAACTATTATAAATTTAAAAAAAAAAGACAAGCCATAATAGATTAGAAAAGCCCTTTTAAAATGACTGAAAACAAACGCTCTGAAATAAGCGGTGACTACGAGAATATATTTAGGATATCCAGGAGACGAGATCTCAAATGCACCATTTCATCTATCATAATAATAAACTTAAAATAATTGGCTTCAGAGTAGCTAAGAACGTGTCAAACTAGCTCGCGAATTTATCATGATTTATCATGTACTAAATTACATTCTGGAATCATTGTGGCAATCCTAGGCACTAAATAGACATTAAACTAAAACACCTTAAAAATAACTGCCCAGTAATATTCAGAAGCCTGCTCTTATTATTAGTTTTTTTTTTTTTTTTAACCACATTCATTCAAACAAGAAAATGGGAAGCTGGTCTTTAATCCAGTTAGCAATTTGGTTATTGACCACGGAAACTTCAGATATGAAGAAGTGGTTAAAGAAAGAATTTAGTTTTCGATCTAAAGAGAACACGAAAGACTTGAAGAATAAGCATGGCTTTAAAATGTTTTAACTACCTCAGCTGAGGGGCTGGATTCAGTGTGGGTTTTGGAATAATCCTGGCTGGTTGATAAGGAGATAGCATGGACCCAGAGACACGCTCCCGCACACACAGGGCGCTATGATCTTTTATACTATATACGCCGTTTCCATGGGTCACATTTATCTTGACCTCACAGTGTTAAGTAAAGTTCAGTGGCTGACACCTTACTCAGGGGGGTGGATTTTGCAAGACATAAACCCTGCTTGGGAGTCTGTAAAGACAGTTGACTACTGCTTAGAGCTGCACACATGCTAAGTAAAAATCCACAAGCAAGCCAGTTTCTCTTTTAAGACAACCTGTTCTGAGGTACTAGCCAAGCTCACCCAGATAGGGGAATCAGATTGCAGGGGGAAGTGGGTTGTCCACCACCATTCTAGGACCTAAACCTGTGTTCTTGCTGACACGGTGTGACTGAACACCAGCACCTAGCAGGATCTTCATGGGCAAGGGTGGGCTTCAATAAAGTGGGTAAGGGGTTTACTAAGCAGAATACACAAGCAGGGTGGGTGAAGTATCTGCGGGAGTGGGTGAGGTGGGGACAATTTTTGGCTGACGTTCTCCAGTTCCAGGGGGCTGGCCACAGAAAAGGGGACGCACTGGCCAACAGGTAGCCCTCGGCATCCCCAAGCGCAGGTGGCGGAGGATCCCCAGATGTTCCGCAGGACCAAGTCCCGACTCCGGCGCCCGCCCGGGTCGCGACCTTCCGGGAGGCGGCCCCCTCCCCCGCCGCCCCGGTTCCTGTCGGCTCCCGGGTCCCCCCGGGCCCAGCGCGGGCTGAGGTCGCGGAGGATCTGACGGGAGATCCCCCAGCCTGCAGGACCCCGCCGTGTTCGCGCGTCACGCCGAGAAGGAGTTACCGGGAAAGGGCACCGGCCCAACCGGCCGCAGCGTCCGTGCTTCAGTGAATCCGCCGGGGCCGGCGCTTCCAGTCCACACCAGAGCACCTGGGGAGGGGAAAGAGGCGGGGCCCAGGCCCGGGGCAGTCACGTGTCACTTAAAGACACCGCGCCTGCAATGCGCGCACAGACCGGGTTTAGGCCGCACACTCGGCGAATCTATTTTGGCCCTGGCGTTCACCGTAGGCACGTGGATCGGGCGCGGTTGCTATAGGAACGGAGAGCGCTCTCTGGCTGGGTCTGAAAGCTTGATCTTGACCAGCGAGGCCAGAACGTGCCTTCTAGCGAGGCGGAGTCGCTATGCATCACGGGATACCAGGAAGACCTCCGGGAACCGGGGAGGGGTTTCCATTGGTTGCCAGAAGATGGCCCACATCTAGCAACTGTTGCTAGGACGGGGACGCAGTCGCTGGTCCCAGTTCACTTTGACCCTATTCATAGAATCCTAGAGCGTCAGAGCTTGCGCCGGCCTTAGGGATTCTTCTTAGTTCAACCTCTTCATATACTGAAGTTCGGAGAGAGCCAAAGACTTGCCCAAAGCTTAGAATCCAAGATTCCAAATTCTGTATATCAACCCAAGAATGTTCTAGACTGGGATTTAGACAAGAACTGGGGGAAGAGGGCGTGGTGAATAAAGCTGACTTTTTTTTTTTTTTTGCGCCCGCGACCAAGGGCTTTGGGATATATTTTCTATTCCATGCCTCATGTTGAATGAGTTCTTGTGTAATTGGTTGCTTTTTATCACTTACTTAGCATACTGTTTTTATTGTTTGTTTTTGAGACAGGGTCTCACTGTGTAACCATCGCTGGCCTGGAGCTTGCTTAGTGAACCAGGGTGGCCTCAAACTCACTAGATCTGCCTGCCTTTGTTTCCCAAAAGAGTGCTGGGATTAAAAGCCTGCACTACCATGCCCGGCTCTATTTTTTATGCATTTATTCTGACTTAGGAATTTAAGCTCCTGTAGGTAGAGTCTCTTTTCTTGTTCAGCGTTGTATCACTTGGTTTGTACAAGCTGCCAGTGAATAATTGAATAGTTAGTTGCAAAATAAATAAAAAAATCGAAGCTAAAACCTGCCGCTGTCCTCACTCCGCCCCCCCCAACCCCCGCCACTGTGGGTAATAAAGTGAAGGGCCTCATGCATGCTAGGCAAGTGCTCTATCACTGAGTTCTACTAGCGGTCCATGCCTAAGGCTTTGCTGCTCCAGTGACCATGGTTGGTCACTATACATGGTATATATACACTATACTTGGTTGTTCTGGATTGAGCTTCTGCACTAGCACCGGCAGAACCATGTACACTAACTCGTGTTTATTTTTATCAAGCTGAAACTAGGTTATTTAACCGTCTGAGAAATCAGGTGACAGAGATAACTGCCAAATTCCCAAACCAACCAGTTTTAGCCAATATGACGAATAATCTCCTTGCTTTGAAGCCCCTAATCTCCTTTGAGTTTCTTGTTTCTGCTCTCCCCAGATTTCCTGTTTGTAAATTCACCTCAGCTGCTCATCCAGAATGTGCATCCTATTTTATGGAAGGAAGTATTGCCTGATGCCCAAATCGGGAAGCAAGTGTAATATCGTCTTTTGACATATTCCAAGGTGGATTCTTGGCTAAGGGTCTATTCTAGTTTGGGTTTGAATCACAGATGCCTCTGTTGGGGTCAAGCTGTGAGATCCCTGACACATGTCCACAGCTGTCTATATCCCTGTCAGGAATGTGGCAGGGATAATAACATAAGGATAGCAGAGAGAATAGAGTAAGTGGTTAGCACAATGTCCAAATTACTTTTAAATTTTTAATTGTTTATTTAGTTAGTATATATATGAGTATTCTGTCTCATGCACACTAGAAAAAGAAATCAGATCCCATTACAGATGGTTGTGAGCCACCATATATGGTGGCTGGGAATTGAACTTAGGACCTCTGAAACGGCAGCCAGTACTTTTAACCACTGAGCCATCTCTTCAGCCTCGTTCAATTACTTTTAACTCGTGGAAATGAGTGGTACAAAACTGAGAGAACAGAGGATTAGATTCCTGGCAGTTTCTCTGAGGGAGGTGCTGAGGAGGGAAAAAGAGTGAGATGGAAGTCTGTGTGAGTTTAGTTCGATGAAGCACGATAGCCTGAAACAACAGGCGACGAGAGGGTTTACTAGCCGTAGCTGACTGGGGCGTTAGAAGAAAACCACAGTCGGCAAGGGACTTTAAAGATGTAGGACAGAGGTCTAGACATGGTTTCCTTCTCTTTTCTCTCGTGACCCTTTGAGTATCTGCAGAAGTCGGGTCACTATGAATTTTGGTAGTGCAATCGCTGCGCGAGGGGAAAAGGTACAATAACCGCTAAGCAGAACCAGCAAATGGGCGCAAGGTAGCAAGGGAACCACAGGGCTTGGAGCCCTAGGGAAGTCCTGGGTGGGGAGAGTCTCGAAGGCGCGCTCGGAAAGTCAAGTGGGTCGCACGCGATGTTACATTGGTCGCTGTTAGAGGAGGGGCGAGGGAGCGGGGGGGGGGAGGGAGTGGGAGGGCGGGACACGGGCGGGGCTAAGGACCTCGGTAGGGCGGAGTGCTGCTCTAAGAGGCGAGGAGGGGCGGGTATTAGCGGGGGAGGAGCGGTGGCGGGGCGGGTCTTGAGTCCATCGCCGGGCCATCTTAGGGCGTGGCGAAGGGGCGGGGCCTGAGGGGGGGTGAGGGAGGTGGGAGGGCTGGCGATGAGGTGAGTGGCCGTGGGAGCTGTGGTGGCGGCGGAGGTGGAGCTGAGTGAGCGCGAGGGACGGGCCTTGGGACGGGGCGGAGCCGAGTAGACCCGGTGACCGCTGACCGGAGCGGGATCCCTTGAGGAGCTATGTGGGGGCGGGGCGTGGGCGCCGGGGCGGGGCGTGGGCGCCGGGGCGGGGCGTGGGCACCGGGGCGGGACCCGAGGGCCGGAAGCGGACGGAACCTGGGGTCCCGCAATCGGCCTGCCATGGACGAGGCGGACCGGCAGCTCCTGCGGCGATGCCGGGTACGCCTAGTGAGTGAGCTGCAAGTCGCCGAGCTCTGGGACGCTCTGCTGAGTCGAGAGCTCTTCACGCGCGACATGATCGAGGATATTCAGGTGCGCCCCGCCCCCTTGTGTCCGCCGCTTTTCCCGCGGCGCAGGTAGGGACTGGGACGTTGCGGAGAGGTTCGCCGAAGCCACTACGGAGCTCCCGCTCTTTTTTCCCTCTTTGCATCGTGTGCAGCCCACGCCCTGGGAAACCATGATGTGGGAACTCCATTTTTCAAACCTTCCACAATCCAGCCCTCTTAGTCCTCCAGAAAAATAAATAGAAGAACCCAAGCACTTCTTTTGTGGAGTGCTTGCTAAAGCGATCTGTAACCTGCACCCTGTTAGTGCTTGTATTATTTTTCCTTCTCTAGTATAAGGGTCCTCCTCGACACCCACTATAGCCTTATACTGGCTCATTGTACCAGTCACTTACCTTCTTTGAGCCTCAGTTTCCAGGGCTATGAAATGGAACAGTGGTCATCCTGTCCTAGGACTAGCGAAATAACCGATGTGAAGCGCTTCTTTGCGGGGACACAGCACCGGGACCCATCTCTGTTTTGGCTGGGCCTTTATCAAGTGCATACTTTATAAAGAAGTTTAGAAAAGAAGGGATTTGATGTAGGTAACACAGAAGAATAAAATCAAACATTTAATTTTTTTAAAATACACTTTAGCATCTTTGTTCCAGTTCATGCCTCACCACAAGTCCGAAAAGGGAATATTTCTTTTCTGAAGGATATGAGTGACAGTCCCTGGGGCACTGTCTAGAAGGCTATCTCCAGCATCTGTATTGGAACCTGGCCTGGTCCAGTGAAGGAGACAAGAAGAAAGTGGTATAGGGTCATGTGGTTAACTGCCAAATAATAACAAAAGTAGTCTCAGGAACACTTTCAGAAGGGTCCATACTGATCAAGGAAAGTGGTTTGAAGGGAAAGTCCTAGCCTTCCAGAAGGCATATTAAGGGGAATCAGAAGCTGAACTGTCCAGGGAGGCACCAGCAGTCTCTCTCTTGTTCCCTTCTCCAGCTAGGTGTGGTCAGAGCAGTGTCTGACCTAGCAGACACACAGGATAGGTTTGTTCCAGGGGTGCTGGCACTCAGCTGGAATCCCAGGACGCAGGATGTAGAGGCAGGAGGATCAGGTTTTCAAGGACATCCTCGGCTACATGCAGAGTTTGAGATCGATTCTTTAGAAACCAAAACCAAGGGCTGAGAGCTGCCTCCATGGTTAAGAGCATTGGTTTCCGTTTTTTAGCAACCACTTGGTGGCTCACAACTATAACTCCAGTTCCAGGGGATCTGATACCCTCTTCTAGCCTCCTGAGGCACTAGGCACACACAATTGGCACATACACACCCAGATACATTCACATATACATACATACATACAGACAGACATATGGACATACATATATGCATACATACAAGTAAGTATTTGAAAGTAAAACCAAAGCAAGAAGCCAGATATTTAGCTTAGTTGGTACAGTGGATGTCTAGCATGCATGAATCCCTGAGACCAGTCCCCAGCACTACATAAGCCAGCAGGCCTGATGACTCTGGGGGCAGGAAAGTCAGAAGTTCAAAGGTCATCCTCAGCTCTGTAGGAAGTTGAAGGCCAGTCTTGGTTACTTGAGAACTTTTCCTCCCCCACACAAATATGAAAGCTGTCTTCCTCACACAAAACAAACTTCTTTTCCTCAAAACCAGAGATGCTGGAGATCTTGATTTCCATATTCAATCCTCTTAATGTTAGAAACAAATTGAGGAAATTTTAAGTACCTTGTGTAAACTACTGACCATTTTGCTACTTTTAGTAGGGCTAATTAGCACTTAGTGCAGCACTGGACATACACACAGTAGGTGTCTTTGAAGTACTGCATAGACAAACAAAGACTGCAGAGGGACATGAACTCAGCACACTGCTGGATTAGTTTCAGCCCACCTACCACAGGATCAGAACTGTCCAGGGAGGCACCGGCAGCCTCTCTTAGTTCCTTCTCCAGCTAAGTGTGGTCAGAACAGTGTCTGACCTAGTGTTGGCAGACTGAAAGGAGAGGCTTGTTCCAGGGGTGGTAACACACACCTGTAATCCCAGCACTCAGGAGGTAGAGGCTAGGTGAGAAATGGCAGGTTAGGGTCAGAGCCACATGGATGTCCCTGATAATGAGTGTCTGATTTTCTGTCCAAACAGCGGGCAGGCTCTGGGTCTCGGCGGGATCAGGCCAGGCAGTTGGTCACAGATCTTGAGACCCGAGGGAGGCAGGCCCTTCCTCTCTTCATCTCCTGCTTAGAGGACACAGGCCAAAGCACCCTGGCTTCATTCTTGCAAAGCAATCGGCAAGCAGCCAAGCAGGATCCAGAGGCTGTTAAACCCCTAGACCACCTGGTGCCTGTGGTCCTGGGGCCAATCGGACTCAAATCAAAGGAGCAGAGAGTAATCAAGTTGGATCCATCGCAGCCTGCCTTGGGAAACCTCACTCCAGTGGTACTGGGACCGGAAGAGCTCTGGCCTGCTCGGCTCAAGCCGGAGGTTCTCAGACCAGAAACACCCAGGCCAGTGGACATGGGTTCAGGCGGAGCTCGTGATGTCTGTGAGTATCGAGAGAATGTTTGGTGGGTGGGTGCCCTGAAGGTATTGGGATGTGACTCTGGGTACAGCTCTAGTTGAGATTCAGAATTTAAATGTAGTATTTGTCTTAATGAATGCTCCTAGGGGACGAGTGGGCTATTCCGGTCAGTCTGTAGGAGATAGAATTTTGGTAGCCTATCTGAAAAGCAAGATCTGATTTGGATGCTCCTTGTCTCTCTCAGTGTTTCCAGAAGGGGCTGTTGCTCAGGGCTTGCCGTTGGGTTCTGGTAGGTGTCTGAAATTACCTACGCCAGACAGGAGGTGTGGGGGCAGCTGGTAGTCAGGACTCCGCCCTGCACACATATGTACTGTGCGAAGCATGTCCCCACCTCCCCGCAGTTCTGCAAACACTGTTGGACTCAGCGCTGTCAGCAAGGAAGCAGAGCCCCGCCCCGGGAAAGCGGAATAATCTGCCTAAGATGACTAGGCAACAGAATGTAGGGAAGTGCAACATGCCAGCTCTGTGCGTGTGTGCACAGGGTGCCGCCACCTACACTGTCACATTATAGGACATTCAAGAGTCCTAGGAGACCTTGTCTCTGATCAGTCTTGTACCCACTCCTGCAACTGAGGGGACTGCTGTTCTCTTCTCCTTGACATCTGTCACTTTTTTCTGTCTTTGTATGTCATTAAAAATGGAACCCTACCATAGGAGCTCTGCTGAATTTGGTGTATTTCACCCGTCATGTCTGCATCTCATTCACGGTGTGGTACAGACCGCAGGCTGCTCTTTTTCCCTGGTAGCTGGTAGTTGTTCCTATTCCGAATAACCTGGAATCACAGACCTGGCAGGGCAGAGAAACACAAGACACGAAACTAGAGCAGCAACTTGTACAGAGGCCGTGAAGGAACACTTGTTCTCCGTGGTTTCCTCAGCCTGCTTTCTTACTCAACTCAGGACCACCTCCCTGAGTGGGACTAACCATAGGGGGCTGGGCCTTGCCCTGTCAATCACCACAGCCTTGCCTACAGGCCAGTCTCATGGAAGCTTTTCTCATTAAGAATCTCTCTTCTCGACTCTTAACTTGTATCAAGCTGACGTAAAACTAGCCCAGACCCTGTAACTTCTGAAGTCCGTTAAAGCAGAGAATCCTGAAGTTCTGAAGGTGCCGTTAGCTGAGGTACAAGGGCAAGGACTGGTTCTGGAATTGCTTCTGTGCGTAGTCACCTTGTGACAGGAGGCAGACAATACAGGGGACCCATTGGCCATCTCCCTTTGGGGAATGTCAGTTGGAGACATCAGGAATAGCAGTCTGGCCTGGAAACTTGCTGCTCTCATGCCTGGTACCCACAGAAGCTACAATGGGGTGCCATATCTCCTGGAACTGGACTTAAGGATTATCGTGAACTGTGATGTGTTTCCTGGGATTTGAACCTGGATCCTCTGCAAGAACAGCTAGTGCTTTTATCTGCTGGGCCACTTCTCTGTCCTTTACCCCCACTTCCCTTACTCCTTTCTGCTGTGGAGTTTTTTTTTTTTCCCCCTTGGTTTTTCGAGACAGGGTTTCTCTGTGTAGTTCTTGCTGTCCTGGAACTCATTCTGAAGACCAGGCTGGCCTCGAACTCAGAAATCCGCCTGTCTCTGCCTCCCAAGTGCTGTGGAGTTTTGTATGAGTGGAATCATGTGCTCTGTATGTCAGTGGCTGGCTTGTTTGCTTTAACATAGCCTCTTGCTCTCCAGGTTACCCAGGGCATTGTGGGTAGCTGGCTTCTCTTTAGGATATCCCCCAGAGTGCCTGAATCCCAGCTTGAGGCTTTTGAATAAGACCTTAGTGAATATTCTCCGCCAGCTCCTTTCGAGGCTGTAAGTGTGTGTTTAACATTGTTGGCAACTCTTAGATGCTTCTCCATACTGGTAGTGTCATGGGACTCTCCCATTCCAAAGATCTCACTTCTCTATAATGGGAGCTGTCCTCACAGATCCTTGGCTTTTCCCAGGTGTACCTGAACACCCACATTTCTTCTTTCTCCTGTTTTCCCAGGTGCTCCAGGGACAATCAGAGGACGTGCAGATATGGTGAGTCCTCATTGATGAGGGGTTGTCTCTCCCTGAAGCCTGGGCAGGGAGTGCGGTTACCATCACCACTCTCCATGGCTCCTGACCCCAGCCAGTGCACTCTGTCCTGTCCTGCCCATCTATCCCTGTAAACTCAGAGCTTGAACCTAAAGAAAGGCTTACAACAGCCGGGCAGTGGTGGCGCACGCCTTTAATCCCAGCACTTGGGGGTGTCCACTCCAGGGCAAGCCACTCAGGCTGTTCTTATGTATGTACTCTGTGGCTCCCATGTGCTGCCGTAGTCCTCTGTGCTGGGGACAAGGGGACAAGACCATTCACCCTGCAGAGCCCTGTGCCAGGGAGAAAAGTCAGGCAGAGGAATAGTTAAATAGAGTGATCAGACCCATGGGCTGAAACAGGCTGTGGAAGAGGAAGTTCAAAGGCCCTGAGCCTGGGCGAGAGCAGCCTCAGGAGCTCAGAGGCTGGTACTGGCCTGAGACTGCTCCGATAGAGCCTACCACAATACCCTCAGCTGAGCCCTGGGCTGGTGCCACCAAGTTGCATGCTGTTTAAAATCCCTCTGGGCAAATGTGTCTGGGTTGGTTGGGCTTTTGTTTGTTTGCTTATTTTTCTTTTTTTTTTGGGAAATGAGTAACATTGGAAACAAAGTTTCTCTGTGTAGCCCAGGTTTCTCAGGAACTCTGTAGACCAGGCTGTCCTCATACTCACAGAGATTCCCCTGCTTCTGCCTCCGGCGTGTTGGGAGCAAAGGTATGCGTCACCATCCGCAGCTCTTCGTTTGGTATTTTAAAGGAATTACTATTTTTATGTATATGAGTGTTCTGCCTACATGTGTGTCTGTGCACCACGTGTATGCAGTGCCCATAAGCCAGAAGAGGGTGTCGCATCTCCTAGAACTGGAGTTATAGAAGGCTCAGAGCCACCATGTGGTGCTGGAGAGTGAACTGAGGTCTTTTGCGAGAGCAGCCGGTGCTCTTAATTGCGGTGGCATCTCTCCAGCTCCCCCCCCCCCCATTTTTGTATTTCTGAAACTAGAGTTTATTATTTAGCCCAAGATGTTCTAGAACTCAATATAAAGCCCCGAATTCACTTTGAACTCCTGAATCTTTTTTCCCAACTTCCCTGGTTTATGGGTGTGTGTCTGTGTGTGTGTGCGCGCGTGTGCGGTTTGTTTTGTTCCTTTGAGACAGAGTCTGTCTGTGTAGAATAGGCCTGAACACAGAGGTCCACCCGCCTTTGCAATATTCAAGTGTTGCCATTAACTGCGCATGCCGCCATACCTGGCTGGGCTTATATATGGGAGCCACCTAGCTTGGTTATGATTTTCCATCCCCAAATACCTAGATGGCATTCAGTTCTCTCAGGTAGGTGGCACACACCTGTCACTTGTCTAGCTGCTCCTATGGGTTTTCTCACTGGAATGTTGGGTGGGGTCCACACTGCTCCCTCCGTGGCAAGGAAGACCCATGATGTGTGCTGGCTCTCCAGACTTGACCACTTAAGTGAGATCCAGGAGAGTCCCTGCCTCTCCTGAGAGGTACACTGATTGATGACACTGGAAACCTGTTATCGCCCAGGCATACACCCTGGATTCGGATCCCTGTGGCTACTGCCTCATTATCAACAATGTGAACTTCAGCCCTTCCTCGGGGCTCAGCACACGCACCGGCTCCAGTGTGGACTGTGAGAAGCTTCAGCTCCGCTTCCGCAGGCTGCACTTCATGGTGGAGGTGAAAAACGACCTAACTGCCAAGGTATAATCGCTGTCCCCCGAGGAACAGTCCCCAGAGAAGCCTCTGTGTCCACAGAGGTGACACGGCAACTGGTTAAAGCATCAGATGGGGGGAGGGTGTAGAAGGGTGTCTGAGGACTGGCTTTCTTAATGCCAGCCACTTGACCTCTTATACCTCGGTTTCCCAGTTTAGGAGCAAGAGTAATTGTCCCCACAGAGTTATCATGGGGATTAAATGGGCAGTCACTAAGCATCGTACCTTTTCCTCCAAACGGTGCCAGTATGTTGACTGTGTCCTTCCCAGCTTCAGCACTGGGAGCGGAGTGCTGTGTTGTGGTCTTTGGCTGGATTCTGCAAGGCAGCTCTCCGTTGGTGCCCCTGGCCTAACTGTAGCCTTCCCTTGTAGAAAATGGTCACGGCTTTGATGGAGATGGCGCACCGTGACCACCGTGCCCTGGACTGCTTTGTGGTGGTCATCCTTTCTCATGGCTGCCAGGTAGGAGGCCTCTCTCCTCCAAGTCCTTGACAGACTCTGCAGTAGCCCCGTTCCTTCTGTGTCCGTGGACCCCTTAGCTTTGGAGAGGAAGTGGTGAGGCCTTAGGCCCTCCTGTTGTGTCTTCAGGGCTCTGTGGTCTTCTGAGGAGTTACCTTTGTGGGTGGGAGGTGGATGGGAAAGCCCTGTCCAAGATGGAGAAAGAAGTAAGCCCCGTCTGGCAGCTCTCCTCTCTGGTTCAGAAACCAAATGCAGCTATCCTGGTTCTCCACGTCTGCTGTGTTCCATGGAGAATGTTCCAGGCCCTTTCCTACCGGGTGGGGACACAGGACACTGGGGTCCATCTGGTGCTTGGCCACTAATGCATTAATTGCTTGTAACTAGGCCCCTGCTCCCGTCCAGGTCTCAGCTCCTTCATGTTTTAAGTTGAGGGGTTGAGAGCCAGTGAGACGGCTCAAAGGATAAAGGTGCTAGCTGCCAAGCCTGGCAACTTGGAACCCACGTGGAACTGGGAGAGAGCTGACTCCTCCCACAGACTTGTTCTCTGACCCCCAGCATGCATGTGGGCACCCATATGCACATACACACAATAACAAGAAGAAGATAAATGCTGTGCTGTGTTAGTTGCTTCAGAGGGTGTGGAGGACCAGAAGGCTGACTGGAGGGCTAGGCGAGCGTTTTGTCCGAGTCTGTGGGGGACGCCGACACTGGTGGTATGGGAACAGCGGTCGAGACACAGCTGACCTGTACTCTCAGGCTCCTTGACTGCCATAGTTAAGTGAGTCTCAGGCCCTTGGAATAGATGCTGACCAGCCTGTCCCTTCTTGGTTAATCCGGCGTCCCCCCCAGGGCCTTCTGAATGTGGACCTCCCCACACAAAGCCTTGGCGCAGGCCTCTGGATTTCTACCTAGAGTCTTTTGTAACTGAGGTGTTTTTGTAACCAAGGTGCCTTGTCCTCTAGGCCAGCCACCTCCAGTTCCCAGGTGCCGTCTATGGGACGGATGGATGCTCCGTGTCCATCGAGAAGATTGTGAACATCTTCAATGGGACCAGCTGCCCCAGCCTGGGAGGGAAGCCCAAGCTGTTCTTCATCCAGGCCTGCGGTGGTGGTGAGTGGACTGGCACTTCCTGTGAGCACAGCTGGCAGGGAAGGACCACTTCCTCTTCCCTTAGCTCCTCACTGCATTCATGGGGTTCTCCACACACATCACTGGTATAAGTACAGTAGGACTTCTTCCTCGCTGCTACAAGCCTAGCACCATCTGAGGAATTGGGTACTGTGACATCACAGGTTTGTGTGTCCTTGATATCTTCAGTCCCAGAATTTCAGTAAAAACAGCAGGGCGGGGGAGATCGCGCCATCTGTAAAGTGCTTGCCATGAAAGCATGGAGATCTTGAGTCTGAGCCAGGCACAGTGGTGCCCACCTGTAATCCCAGGGGTAGGGAGGTCGAGATAATGGGGCACACACTCACACACACAGACACACAGACACATACACTTGCACACACACAGACACATGCACACACAGACACACACACACACACACACATGCATACACAGCAAAGGAGAGAGTAAAAAGACCCTTCAGTTTGCCTTGGCACCATCCTCTGACCTCTGACATCTAGTTAAGACCCCATTTCTGCTGTCCCAGGAAAACTGCACTGAGCCTCAAGGAGAAACTAAAGAATTTAACTCCTGGAACTCTCAGGAGCCCAGGGAATGTGAGGGACTTTCAGGTTTTTCTTTATGCTTGGTGTCTTACTCTATTTTCTGTCGCCATAACTGAACACCACAGGCTAGGTAATATGTAAAGGAGGGAGGTTTATTACCTCATGATCTGGAAGCTGAAAATCCAGAACCATGGTGCTAGCTCTGGTGAGGGTTTGTCGAATTCTTGTCGAATTTCAGTGTGGTGGGCAGCTTCATGTGACAAGACAGTAAGTACCTGTGCTGGTTGCTCCTCCTCTCCCCACCACCACCCATGATTTTTAAGAGGCATCACCCTTGAATTTGAACTTCTGTACTTACAAGTACATGCTGCCTGGGTAGCACCTTTATTTGATACCTCTGACTTGCAAGGGTGTGGTCAGGGTGTGGTGGTGCACCCATCATCATCATTATTAATTTTATTTATTTACATCCCAAATGTTGCCCCCACAAAGATTTATTTATTTATTTTGCATATATGAGAGCTCTATCTGCGTATACACCTGCATACCAGAAGAGGGCATCAGATCCCAGTATGGATGGTTGTGAGCCACCATGTGGTTGCTGGGAATTGAACTCAGGACCTCTAGAAGAACAGACAGTGCTCTTAACCACTGAGCCATCTCTCCAGCCCACACCTTTAATCCCAGCACTCAGAAAGCAGAGACAGGTGAATCCCAGTGAGTTCAAGGCCAGCCTGGTCTACATAATGAATTTCAGGCCAACCAGAGCTGTACGGTGAGACCCTATGTCTTAGGGTTTTACTGCTGTCAAGACACATGACCAAGGCAAGTCTTATAAGGGACAACATTTAATTGGGGCTGGCTTACACACTGGAGGAGGGTCTCTTACACACTGGGAAGAGTTTCAAAGCCCAGTCCCACAAAGATGCACTTCCTCCAACAAGACCACACCTACTCCAACAAGGCCACACCTCCTAATAGTGCCACTTCCCATGGGCCAAGTATATTCAAACCACCACAGTCTATCTCAAAAATAAATAAATGAAATAAAGTAAGCCTCTGAGTTTACTATTACATGCTTTTGTTTTATTTACAAGCTCGGAACCCACTGTTCTTACAGAGTATAAACAAACAATCAAACAAACAAATAAATATAGGCAACTGCCAGACGGTTCAGTGGTTAAGTACCATTGCTGCTCTTTTTTTTTTTTTTTTGGTTTTTCGAGACAGGGTTTTTCTGTGTAGCTCTGGCTGTCCTGGAACTCACTCTGTAGACCAGGCTGGCCTCGAACTCAGAAATCCACCTGCCTCTGCCTCCCAAGTGCTGGGATTAAAGGTGTGCGCCACCACCGTCCGGCCCCATTGCTGCTCTTATAGAGGAAGGACCAGAGTGTGCTTTCCAGCACCTACACCTGCCTTCGCCTTTCGGCCCAGGGCATACGATTCTCTGACGCCACTTCCCCCAACCCCAACATACTCATACATTCACGTAAACATAGCCACATAAATGCAACTTTATATTTTTATTTTTTTTCTTTCACCCTCATGCAACTGAGATTAAAGGATAAAAACATTTTGAATTTTTTTTTTTTTACATCTACAATTAGTGACACTCAACTGTAATCACAACATTTGGGAGGTGGAGGCAGGGGAATCAGGAGTTCAAGGCCACCCTCAGCTACATGGTGAATTTAAGGCTAGTATAGCATACATAAGACCCTGTGTTTAAGGGAGAAAAGTCCTCATCCTTTAGGAGGCTAAAACAGGGAGACTACTTGAATCTAGGAGTTTGAAAAAAACCTGGGGAACAGGGAGTATGCATACGTGTACACACACACACACACACACTCATACATACGCGTGCCTAAGAACAAAACAAATGAATATTGTTTTTAGTGTATTAGGAACTCTGACATCCTGTCCAGGAATCTCTTCTATCCCAGACCCCAGTGTCCTGGACGTCTGTAAGGCATATCCCTGCCGCATCCCTGAACCTGAGTTTGTGAAACGGGTACTGTGAACCAGGGTGTTGTCTGGCTGGCCCTAGGGACTTGGCCCACCCCATTGTCCTGTAACAGGTTCTGTGGATGCTCGGCTGCGTTCTGTGTTTGGGATCATCTACAGGAGCAGGCCTTTGGCATTTGAGATGTGTTTATTAGGCACCTATTGTATACACCAGGTGCTAGAAATAGAAGAGAGAGTGTCTGACCCCGAGACTTTATAATTTAACATGAACTGTGTTAAGTCACTGCAGGATTCGTGTTGTTAAGCTGGCAATGAAGGATTCAGGATGTGTCATTAAATCCTGGATCGGTCACTAACTCATTGCATAGCCCTGGACCTTCATCTGTACAAGTCTCAGTGAATAGGGGCTCATACTCAAATTATACATGTGCAGCACCTGGCAATAACTGAAAACTGCCAGGCAGTGGTGGTGCCTGGCTCTGATCTTAGTACTCTGGAGGCAGAGGCAGGCAGAGCTCTCTGAGTTTGAGGCCAGCCTGGTCTACAGAAGTTCCAGGACAGCCAAGGCTACACAGAGAAACCCTGTCTTGAAAACCCAAAACAACCCTGAAATCCCACATACCTCCCACTCCCCCCAGGGCTCAGGAGTACCCCGCACTTCCCCTCTTGTTGCCAATGTTCTTTGGTCTAATTCTGAGAGCAGGGAGGAGGTAGCTGTGTCCTCTGGCCACAGAGATACTCTTGTTCACCCTATCTCTGCTCTAGGTGATTCTCCTACCCTGATCCCTGACAGATGCAGAGGGAACAAGGAGCAGGGCTGAGTGGGTTAACGGGCTCCCAGGAGCTGAGTGGGTTAACGGGCTCCCAGGACAGGGGCTGTTTGCTTGTCCTCACCTCTCCCAATCCCTACCCCCACCCCCGTTTTCAGTAGCAGGTAGGATTTTGGTCCCATACATATAAATGGTGTTACTCTTAAGATTTCATAGCAGGGTCATCAAGGCCTTTGATGACCCGGACCCTGCCACTGTGCCTGCCCATGCTTTCCTCAGCACAGCCTTCCCAGAGTGCTCCAGGGTCCTGGTTGTTTATTGATTTATTGGTTTGTATATTTTGAGATGTGACCCTGGCTGTCCTGGGACTATGTAGACCAGATTGTCCTCAAACTCACAGACATCTGCTTACCTCCACGATGGAATTGAAGGTGTGGGTTTTCAGTCTTCTGTATATGGATATTTATTTTCATGTATAGATGTCTGTGGACCACATGGGTACAGGAGCCTGTGAAGACCAGAGAGGGCAGGAGATCACCTGGAACTGGAGTTAGAAATGGTTGTGAGCTGCCATATGGATGGTGGTCAGAACCAAACATGGCTTCTCTGCAAGAGCACTCAGTGCGTTCACCTGCTGAGCCATCTCTCCAACTCCAGCTCTTCCTATTCTGATTGTTGCTGTTGCCTCCAGGAAGTCTTTTCTAGTACCCCCTTCCTTGACAAGGTTAATCCCAGCCCTTGAGAAGCAGAAGCAGGAGGGCCTCTGTGAGTTCCAAGCTAGGTAGTCTTCATAGTGAGTTCCAGGACAGCCAGAGCCATATGTATATATATATATATATATATATATATATATATATATATATAGAGAGAGAGAGAGAGAGAGAGAGACCAAAAAATAGTTTCAGGCTAACCTGGGCTACATGAGATTCTGTGTACCCCTCCTAAATTGTTCCCCCTTGTGGAATTCTAGTCTCTTTTTTGTCTAGCTCTGTTCTCAGCAGGAAGTATGACCTGCTGTTTAATGCTGTTGCCACCTGGTGGTGCCATGTCACCTACGAACAGAAGCAGTGACTTCCCTGCTTTGCCTGGCTGGGTATCCTGTTCACACACATGCAAATGCCAGCCCAGGGTTTTGGTGGCTCTACTGTAGCTGTTTTCAAAGTCACCATTTTCATTTAAAAGGCTACATGTTACCTATCCTTTGTTAGATGGTGGCATAGAACCAGGCTTTGAAAATGTCACCCAGAGCCAGTAACAGGCCAGAGCCCAGAGTGGCTCAGACAGACCCCGGTGTCAATGCTGGGGGGAGTTCTCTTCAGAATTTTAGAGCATGTGCAGAGAAGGCAGAAACAGCACAGTCAGCCACAGCAGCTGAGGGCTTGCGTGCTGAGGGGACGTTCTGCCTCCTGCTGTATGTTGTTATGGGGAGCAGCCTTGCATGTAGACAGGTTTGTCCTCACCTGTGGCTTGGCCTTCACATGCAGTTTGCAGACAGAGGATGACACACAAATAGACCTGTGGCTGGTGTCCCTGTTTGACTCGTTCTTCTGCTTTCCCACGTCACTTCCCCACAGTGGTCATTTGGGTGATAACCGCCTTTCAGCTCATACTACGCAGGGCTCTTTGTAGAGGGCCTTGGGCCGCACTGCGTTATTTTCTTAGGAAATTATGGGTTTAAGAGGTATACACATTGACACAGATTTTGTATACCCACACACAGAAAACTTAGCATGGATGTTCATACTTGTACATGTTCGTAGAAGTCAGAGAACAAATTTGAGTCAGTTCTCTCCTTCCACCCTGTGGGATTCAGACGTGGCACCAAGTGCTGGTGCCTACTGAGCCATTTTGTCAGGACCCCTCTATTTGGTATAGTTTGGATTCTCTGTTTTGAGGTACTGTAAAATAATTGGGGTAGCTTAAAAAATACAAATGATTGGGCCTGTTAGCACAGACCTGTAGTCTCAGCTATTGAGAAAGCCGAGGCAAGGTGATCAGAGTTCAAGGCCAGGGCCTGGAGAGATAACGACAGTGGCTAAGAGTGCACACTGTTGTAGAGGGCCCTGTTCAGTTCCCCCGAACACTCGCTGGGCTGCTTCCTGTTCCCTGGACACACTTTGGGCAGCTTCCTGTAACTGTACGTCCAGGAGGTCCGACACCCTCTTCTGGTCACTCTGGGTAACTGTACTCATGTGCACATACCCCACCTCCACACATAACTAAAAATACATACTGTGGTCATGCCTTTAATCCCAGCACTTGGGGGAGCAGAGGCAGGTGGATCTCTTGTGAATTCCAGGCCAGCCTGGTCAACATAGTGAATTCCAGGTCAGCCAGGGCTGCGTAAGTGAGACCCTATCTCCAAACAAGCGAGCTCCGTCATATCTAGTTTCTGTTTCCTTCCTGTGTGGCAGAGCTCACATGCCTTCTAGTCCAGGCCTTTCCCTTTTCAGGAGAAGCACCCTGTGCTGCAGTGACATTAGTGATGTTGGGTGACTGTTTTTCGCTTCCCGCAGAGCAGAAAGACCATGGCTTTGAGGTGGCCTACACTTCCTGTCAAGGCAGGGCCTTCGACAGCGACTCTGAGCCAGATGCTGTCCCATATCAGGAAGGCCCAAGGACCCTGGACCAGCTGGATGCCGTGTCAAGTTTGCCTACCCCCAGTGATATCCTTGTGTCCTACTCCACCTTCCCAGGTGAGCTCATCCGTGCACCCGCCCCTAGCCCAGGGCAGCTATGCCCTGAGGTGTTGTCTCTGCCAGACACAGCCTGCGGGGTCCTCAGCAGGTCCTTCACCTCTCCCTGGTGCCCCCTCAAGGTGAAGCAGACAAGGCTTCAGATTGGCATGCAGATATAAGAGCAATAAACCTAGTTGAGGTTGTCTCGGAAAATACACGAGGGAGGGGGCTCCCTCAGCACAGTGCCTGGCAGGCGGTGGTAAGGTGCATCCTTCATCCTTCTTGAGACCCCTGACTTCTCAGAACCTTGATTTCTGTGCTGCGAAAAGGAGACCCACAGCTAGTCACGTGGTGTTGAGAGTGACCGTAGCAGGGAGCCGGGGAGGTGGGGCCATCCTCGCCGCATGCCAGTGAGCCACAGTCTGGATCTGGCTGCAGCCTGCACACTCCGCCAAGGACTGTGCTCCTCTGCTCGGCGGTGGCAGAGTTCAGCCTTCCTCTTCCTGCAGGTTTTGTCTCCTGGAGGGACAAGAAGAGTGGCTCCTGGTACATTGAGACCTTGGATGGAGTCCTGGAGCAGTGGGCTCGCTCTGAAGACCTGCTGTCCCTTCTTCTCAGGGTGAGCACTTCTTCCTGAGGGCAGAGAGGCCTGAAGAGCAGGGGCAGCAGGCCCTAGGCAGAAGGAGAGGCTGACTGGCCCTGACAGAGAACCAGGGAGTGCTTTGCAAAGTGCCATCTTCCCCGCCTATTTAGAGACAGACGCCCAGACAGACACCCAGGTCCCAGATGAGAGTGGTCTTAAGTGCCAGGTGGGGCGGCTCAGTGGCAAAAGCTTAGTTCCCTGGAGGCTGGCCACGTGCCTCTTCCTGGACTCCGCGGCAGTCCTGCACATGTTTCTTTTTAGATAGGGACTCATGTAGCCCAGGCTGGCTTAGAACTTGCTATGTAGTGGGCAATGACCTTGAACTTTTGATACTCCTGCCTCTACTTCTTGGGTGCTGGAGATTACAGGTGTTGACCACCACACCCAATTTATGTAGCACTGGGGGCCAGTCGAGCTACATCCCCAACCCCATGTAATCGACTCTTGACCAGCAAGCATTCTAATTGTCCCCTACCTGCATGTCTTAGTGAGAATGAATAGGCAGGGGCACAACGGCCCCTCCCCTTTCAGGGCATTTTCTCCCCATGGGGACCCTGAGAGTTTCTACTGCTTTGCTCAGATACACATGTTGGGGCGATAGGGGACACTTCTGGTCCTGAGATGGAATCCAACAGGACAGGGGACAGCCAGGGCCAAAAGCAGGACACATGTCGTCTCTGGGTCATCTTCTCCCATCTTTCTTGCCCCTAATCTTTCAGTCTGGTTAGAACTGTGGATTTTTGTGTTAGAAAACTTGACCAGGTGGTGGTGGCACACTCCTTTAATCCCAGCACTTGGGAGGCAGAGGCAGGAAGATCTCTGAGTCTGAGGCCATCCTGGTCTACAGAGTGAGTTCCAGGACAGCCAGGACTACACAGAGAAAATCTGTCTCAAAAAAAAAAAAAAAAGAAAGACAAAATAAAACCAAGACCCCCAAAAAATAATCCTTCAATTTCCCATTCTTTTACAGTAGCTAAGGTGTTTGATTGATAACCCACCTCAGGGAGTTATAGGTGGAGTCACCTTCAGATGGCCCCTTCAATGGCCCTCTCCTTAGGGCCCATCTCAGCCCCTGCCTCAGCCAAGGACACCGCACCCACAGATTACCCCTGTGCTTCTGTTTTGCAGGTCGCCAGTGCTGTTTCCGAGAAAGGGATTTATAAGCAGATCCCTGGCTGTTTTAACTTCCTCCGGAAAAAGCTCTTTTTTAAAACTTCATGAGGCTGGGGGCTGCTCTCTGCCTCAATCTTCTCCCCTGAAGCCTTCATGGCCTGGAGGTGGCCAAGGCTTGGACTGTCCTGAGAAGCAAGGGTTTTGTAACTGGGGCAGGCTGCTCTTTCCCTTTTCTGGTGCAGACAGGCTCCTAGCAGCTTCCATGTTGGAGGGAGCTGTGGAACAGAGCGTTGAGAACGCTCCCTGGCCGCTTCATGTGTGGTTAGGGACTGTGGCCAGGGACCCCCAGGCCTCTCTAGAACAGGGCTTCTCTGCCAATGTACTACTGACATGTGGGGTTGCATAATCCTGTCATGGGACTGCACCGTGTGTTGTAGAGCATTTAAAGCTGTCTCTGGTCTCCACTTGCCAGCTGCCAGGAGTACCCTTCCTGAGTTCTGCCAACCAGAAATGTCTTCAGACATTGTCATATGTGCCCTGGGGGACATTATAGCACCCGCTCTGAGGGGACATCACCCACAGGGGTCTGTCTGTGGCTGCAGACACACAAGCATCTTTCTTTCCCAGACCCACAGTCCAGCTGGCCCAGTGTGAATACCTGGATCTGGGCTACGTCTCATCGAAGTTTCCAGAAGGGTTAATTCTTCCTTGAGCACATTATGTATTCTTATAGTTTTGGTTGTGAGCCTAGCCTTTAACGGCTGAGCCATCTCTCCAGCCCACATTATATATTCTTAAACAATAAATCTTAGGCGAAAGGACTGTTTTTTGGCTATATCCTCCCCATCCCCACTCTGTTCTTCCTACAAAGGAGACTTGCTTTTTCCTGAGCATTTCTCTGTGTCTTCCAAGGTCCCTGTCCGAGCACAGGAGGTGACTGAGGTGGGAGCCAGGAATCCCCACAGATCGAGTCTCATGTCTGAAGGATCTTGGTTACCCTAGTGGGGACCCCTGGGCAGAGCTGTTGCGAGTCTCCCCAGTCTTCCCTGCTGAGTGAGCCTGGTCCCCAGGTAGCAGTGACTGGGCAATAGTGCTGGCCCTCCCTGGAGAAGGTGCCACCTTGTCTTTAAAGCTGTTCTGACTTAGTTTTCTTTTTTTCTGTTTCCATCTGGTCTTTGCTTTGTGAAAATCCACTTGTGTTTAGATGGTAGGGGTGCCAAGCCTTGTTTGTTTATTTTTGAGCTGGGGTCTGACTTTGTAGCCCAGGTTGGCCTCAAAATCTCCATCCCACTGCCTCCTAAATGCAGGGATTCTAGCTTGTCCCACCGCCTCAAGCTCCTGCAAGAATGTTTGTTGCTTTCAGGGCCCTGAGGTTAGGGTGCCGGGTTAATAAGACAGACTCATCCCAGGATGTGATCCATAAGTCACTTTATTACTGTTTCCTTTCTGTGGCATTTCCAAGGTGACAGTCGCAGAGATGTCCTTGGTTAGTTCTTTGCAATCACCTGAAGGACACACAGGAGAGTGAGGAGGTTAACCTGGCTGAGGATTGAGTTCAGTGACTCACGGCCAAAGGGTGTGGTCACAGTTTTCCTCTCCTGTCAAGAAGGGTCTTAGCTTGGGTGTCATGCCAGGAAGCCAGGAATCGCTAATGATCACTTGCCAAATGTATAGATGGGTGTGGTTTTCTGACGTAATTTGTTTCTTTATTTTTTCTGAGACTGGGTCTCTACGTAGCCCTGGCTGTCCTGGAACTCACCATGTGGACAAGACTGGCCTGGAATTCACAGAGACCCACCTGCCTTTGCCTCTGAGTACTGGTATTAAAAGTGTGTGCCACTACACAGGCCAATTTGTTTCTTACTTACTTTTGAGGCACTAACTTAGTGTATGGGGGTGAGGCTATCACTTGTTTTCCAAGACCAATTAGCAGAATCAAATACTGTTTTCGGGGTGTGTCATTTTGGTGCTGGGATGGAGCCAGGTTCTCACATACCATGCACCTGTTCTACCACAGAGCTACTATAGAGCTACGCTCCTATGTTCCTTTCATAAGCAATATTTTTAATAAAGAAATATATTCCTTTCTGAACAAAACAATAAAGCTGCGATTTCTAAAGGTACCTGTGTTGACATTTTTCCGTGGACATTTGCTGATAATGCCGGGGTTGTTTGTGTCTTTGTTTAGCTGCTTGCTGGCCTCAGCGCTTCACCTAAGGCTGTCTAGGTAGGTGTGTTCTGAGGCACCCCCTCAGGGTTGCAGCTGTTGTGTCTATGCGCGCGCGCGCACACACACACACATACACACCCTCGGGCTGGGACCATGTGAGGCTCCATTGTCCTCGCTGCAGCTTTTCCAGGGACAGCTGGCAGCTCAGCAATCAACCCCTGTCCGTCGCCCAGTATTCTACCACGCTGGCTGCTCTCCCCAGAATGCAGGGGCTCTGCCCAGGTACCCAGCAAGGTTTGCTTTCCCCTTTTGGTCTTCCTGACTCCTACACCCAGCCATCTGCCTTGCTGTGTCTGCCTGTGGCTGGGAACAGCAGGTGCTGGGACAACAGGTCACGCGTTTGGGGTCCCAAGGTGCTGCCAGGCTCAGCTGTGGACTAACTAATGCAGCAGCTGGGACCACAAAAGATGGGAGGATCCGGCTGAGACAAAGCCCAGAAGTATCTTCCCACCCAGTCATTGAGGCTCCTTTGAAATGCTCTAAGCTGGCTTTCGATTTCCCTCTGTCAAAATTTAGTCATGGCTCCCGTCCCCAGTTGACAATCATACTAAAATGTAAAACAAAGAACAATAACAAGAACTTCCAAAACCTAACCCTTCTCTTGATTTTCCATTTTTCTCTAACTTACAAAAAAAAAAAAAAAGAAAGCATTTACTTGCTGTGTGCACATGTGTGTACCGTAGCACACCTGGGGATTGATCTCAGGTCATCAATCAGGCCTGGACCAAGCCCCTTTATCCCACTGATCTATTTCTGAGCCCTTCAAGCTTTCTTGGGAGCTCTGGGGCTGAGTCTAGTCGTGGGCGGAATAGACCCAGCAGACCAAGGACTGAAGCAGGCAGGTGAGAGCCGGCAAACTTGGAAACTCTCTCAGGCTGGCTCTGACAGCCGGCTACCTCAGGCTCGTGCTCATAGCTGCCAGTTCATATTTGGTTTTCCAAGCGTCTAATTCAATTTAAGGTTCCCTGCACACTGAACTGGGGATAACGAGCCGCTGCCACCTGCGCCACCACCCTTGCTGTTCTGTTGGACAGCTGGCTGTACCTGCTGAGGAGTCTGGCTCAGTTCAAGTCCCATTTTACAGAAAAGCAAACCAAAGGGGGGGGGGTGGATTAAAATACACCCTATGGGCGGAGTCCTCCCACTTCCTAGTATCCCTCTCCAGATTCCGTTTTCCCTCCATCCTCACCTAGGGCCCCTTGGCTGCCAATTTCCTGCTGTTTCTGGGTGCCTCCCTGACCGCTGCCTGTATCCTCAGCTGCTCTGGCCGGCCTGCGAGCCTCTGGGTTCTTCCTGGTTCTGCCTCTCCAGCACTCGGATTACATGGCTACCATGCTTGGCTTTTCATGTAAGTCCTGGGGATTGAACTCCTGGTCCTTGTATTTGCAAGGGCAGGCACTTTACTGCCTAACATTGCTTCTATAATTTGTGGTTAGTATAGTAAATGGGAAACAGCTTCCAGGAGAGGACTCTCTGGGGACACACAGGCGCATAAGATTAACTTAGTCCCATTTGCCTGGGAGTGGCCCGACACAGAACTGAATAGTCCTTTGTCCTGGGGCAGACAGGACAACCCCGTCATCTTACGGTGGTAGGGGGAGCACTCTTCAGGGGAATTAAGTACTAAAACCCAAGGTTGTAGGAGTCTCAACCTGGGCATGGGATTTGCAGATACATATCACCAACAGCAATGGAGGGTGGGGACTGCGCCTATATAACCTAAGAATAAATGAGATCCACTTGCTGATCCTGGGAGCCCCCGCTCGCCTCATGGCAGGCTGTGGGCTCAGGGATGGCGGTTTCTTACCGTGTTGATCCAGTCAATGTAGCTGGAGACCCTGGTGAAGACAGACGGCTTGCGGGGGTAGTTGCAGCCCAGAGTGGAGCCGAAGCTCACGATACCGTGCACCTGCCACTGGCCGTTAGATGCCTTGCAATTCAGTGGTCCGCCGGAGTCCCCCTGAGGAAGCCAGAGTTAGGCATGAGGGGAGGAAGAGGGTGCCCAGAGGGGCCTGGTTCTTAGTATATTGTTCTATGAGGTCACTGTCCTCTGAAGGCAGCCTTATGGTCACAGGCGGTGGTACCTTATCTACAGGAGCTGGTATTTGATTTTTGAATCCAGAGCCTCTTAATGTGCCTCTCCTGCTGCAGCTTCATAAATGCTGCCATTACAGGTTGGCGCACGCCTTTAATCTCTTGGGAGGCAGAGGCAGGCAGATTTCTGAGTTCAAGGCCAGCCTAGTCTACAGAATGAGTTCCAGGACAGCCCGGGCTCTAAGAGAAACCCTGTCTCGAAAAACCATAAATAAATAAATAAATAAATAAACAAATAAATAAATAATAAAAACAAGGTCTTTCCATGTAGCGCAGGGTATGCTAAAATATGCAACAATCCCCCTGCCTCATCCTCCCTAGTGCTGAGGTAGTCCGTATGTGCCCCAAGTTGGCTGCTATGCCCTTCCTATGCCTCTTCTTGTTTGAAAGTGTGAAGACCTGCTTTCAGATCCCCAGTGCACACATAAAGAGCCAAGTGTGGCTGTGGGGATGGGGACGGAGACAGGAGCTTGCTAGCAGTGTATACAAAACGGGGGATATGAGAAGGAGAAGCATCACTGCTCCAAACCCGTCAGGCCAGTACGAGTTTCTCTGGCTTACCAGAGAAGACAACTGTTCAGAGGCTGGGACTTGCCCGAGGGAGACCGTAGAGTGTGTGGGTGTGGGTCTATAGTCAAGGCACTGACTGTATCTGAAGGTGTGGGGGCTCCCTTCTCCCTCTGTCTTCCTCTGCAGAATCTGCCTGTACCAAGTCCTTTGGTTCCTGACGCTGTCTTTAAGAAGACTTCTGTAGCAGCGACCCAAGGGGCCACCTTGGGCCGTTACTGTGGGATGACGGTCATGAGAGACCTGGATGGGATCCAAGGAAGACTAAAGACTTCCTAGCACTCAGGCAAAGAGAATGCTACAGGGCGATGGTACTTATAACATCTTTTCTGGGGACGAGGAGAACGAAAACATTCCAGAACAGTTTCCAAGGCTCCTGCCCAGGAAGGAGGGAGAAGATGGATCCTAGGACACCTCCCTACCCGCAACTCCCCCCACATCACATCCTCGCCGTGTTTTGCTGTAGACTGGGAAACCCGATTGGGGACACTCACATTGCAGCTGGAGGTCACACCGTCGCCACCAGCGCATACCATGGTGGTCTTCACGGAACTTCCCCACCAGCTAGCGCTGGAGCAGGTGGCATAGTCCACAACTAGCAGGCGGCCCTGCTGCAGAACGTCAGGACTGGCCCCGTTGGCTGAATGAGACCACAGAGAGAAGGCATGAGGGGGTAAAGAGACTCCCAAGTCAATAGGAAACAATGGGCGTGTCGGGGATGTGCTTGCCAAGAAACTGTGAAGACTGAGTTCAGATCCCCGGTGCGCATGGAAAGAGCCAAGCGTGGCTGTGGGGGTGGGGGCGGAGACAGGAGCTTGCTAGCAGTGTATACAAAACGGGGCGGGGGCGGGGAGGTTATGAGAGGGAGAAGCGTCGCGGCTGCATCCTCTATTCACCCCTTCCTTTCTGGTCCAGGTTACTTTCTCTCACCCACAAGGAGGCCATGTTAGTTTGCATTGTGTCCTCAGTCGATTGGTTGGTGTTCAGGCTACTGTTGATTGGTTCAGGGTGAGCATCTGACTCAACCTAAAGCCAATGAGCCCCTTCCTCTGGGATTCTGGCATGGGCAGTGGGTACCATTTTCTTTTGTGTCGAGAAGGATGAGGCAGAAAAGACACTCTGAAGGAGAGCTGGTTCCTCACAGGCTGCAAACTCCTTGATCTAGAATGTTCCTGACATCTAGCTGTGTGTCTATCCTTGGGTTAGAATTCCTTTTTGCTGGGCTAGTTCTACAGGTTTCTCTTACTTTATTATGTCAGGGAGCTGTCTGGAGCCTTCTAGCTAGAAAAAAACACGTAACTCTGTGGTCAAGGTAGTTTTCCTCATAGCCCCAGTGACATTGTCTATATCACTGCCACAGTTGGCCAGGATAGAGTTCATTTCATTCTCCGTGTGTGTGTGTGTGTGTGTGTGTCCATGTGGAGGTCAGAAGTTAACCTCTAGTTCTCAACCTTCCTAATGTTGTGACTCTTTAATACATACAGTTCCTCGTGTCATGGTAATCCCCCACCTTAAAGTTATTTATTGCTACTTCATAACTGTAATTTTGCTATCATGAGTCATAATGCAAATATCTGATAACCAGGATATCTGATATACAATCCCGAGTGGGTCGAGACCCACAGATTGAGAACCACTTCTTTAGCACCATCCACCTTGACTTTTGAGTTAGGGTCTATCTATCCTTAGCTTAGAGTTCAACCAATTAGGTGAGGCTGGGTAGCTATTGAATCCCAGGGATCTGCCTGTTACTTCTGAACAGTCGGGATCGTAAGTACGCACAACCACACCTGGCCTTTGACCTTCACTGCAGACCTTACACTTTACAAATGAGGAAGTAGATTTGACAAAGGGCCCAGCATGAGCAAAGTGTGTATCTCCAAGAAGCTTGGGCTACCTCCCTGACCCTCTCTTCCAATTTCCTTGTTTGCTGTTGGGCCTCATTGCTCTCTACAGAGAAGAAAATGACCGCCACTGCAAACAGCTCTTTGTCTGGGAGAGCATCTTCTCTATTCCCAATTCCTATTGGCTTAGCTTGAGTCAGGTGCTCATTCCTGAGCCAATCACCAGTGATCAGAACGCTAACCAACCGAATGAGAGGGCACAGTATAGCCAAACCTGGCCCAGTTTTAGGCAGCAAGAAGAGGATCTGATGATGGCCTTGGGGTTTTCATGGTGCTCCAAAAGCCTGAGGTCACATAGTACATGTTATTCAGAGCTCTGGCCTCAGGC